AGCCAGAAATTGACACAATACTACAGATGTGGTTGATTAGAGCACGGTACTATAAATTTTTGTGACATATGGACACTACCCTACTACCAGAACCTAACTAATTTTTTTTCTTTTGCAACCATGTCATGTCACTGGTTCCTATTAACCTTCGTTTTCCTAAAGAACTGCCACTATACAAAGTCACCTCCATACTTCCATACCAATGAATTATGATGCATTTACTATTATATTTTTTTTGTTTTTAGCATAGCATTGCAACCTATTTAAGAACTGTGTTAACTCTGAATTGTTATCTAACAGCTATCCCTTTTCAATTCGTCCATGGATTTTTAAAGCAAGCCTCCTAGACCTTCATCAAAGTCATTCACACAAATGCTGAGGAAGAAAAAACTCGGGGGAAAGGCTTGTGATCCTTATGCAGGGACAATTCCTGACCCAAACCCAAGAACCTATACACCTTCCCGTTGCTGGTTCAGTCTGCCTCCCGCGCACACAGCAATACCGCTAATTAATCTGCACACCACTTCATACATAAAAGCATCCTGCATCCTTGACAAATGCATCGCTGAAAGCAGGATTAACTTACCTTTCAAAACAAAGTGGAAGAAATCTACACATATTAAAATTATATAAAAATGTGTATGTACACAGAATAAAGACTAGAAGGGATACAGCATCAATGGAAATGGTTGTTCCACTGTCAATCTGTGGAAACCGGAGGTTTGCTTTTTACTTAATAGTGTCTTTAATACGGGGTTACATTGTTTACCAAATTTAAAACACTCGGAATTATGAAGAGGATTTGGCTTTCAAGCAATCCATGTGAATGGATTTAAGAGCATAGAGACTCTATCTGATCCTACCAACCTGAAAACTTGAATAAGAAACATATTCACTTGAAAAGACTTGTTGATACCTAGAAACACTGGCTTTTTCTTCTTTATTATTTTTTTCCTTGTACTGCTACTTTAGGCTTAATATTTCTGGAAATCAGGGAGATAGCAGACTGGAGAACTGGATTCTGAAGTTTAGAAAAAGCCTGCATGCAGTGTGTATTAGTCTATGTATGCCCCTCTGTCTGTCTGTCTGTCTGTCTCTGCTGGTGAGGTTGAGAGGGATAGAAAGAAAACAGTCATTATACTGATATTTCTGTGAAGCTCTGGACTAAAATGGAGCAAAGTGTAAAAGTGATCTCCCCTCCAGCCCAAGAATTTCTAACGAACACATAAACCTGTATTATCAATTCCCCTATGGTCATTTTTTTACACTGGGGTTAGGAAATAAGTGGAAGGGTGAGTTTTAAGGAAAGGATTCGGGTAGAGTATGGGTAATTAGTAAAAAAGAAAAAGGAAGAAGGTGACTGGGTATTTTGGAGAAAATATGATCTGTAAATATTGCACTTATAAGAATCAGAAACAATCTAAATATTTGACTTTTAACAAATCAGGATTTCTCCACTGCATCAATATTTGTGTACAGCATGATTTTCTCCAGTGGAAAGCTAGTATTAGCAACTACATACATGTTATCTTTATTTCTTTGAGGTTGTCTCTATCCCGTTTTTATTAGTGCTGTCCCTTATTTTCAATGTCTGTGAGACAAGTAAAAATTCTACTTTGCTTAGAAATGCAATTTGTCTACCATACCATAAGTTAAGCAAAATACATGAAGCAAATCAACAGCTTTTAGATTTATGGCAAACTGTTGTAAAAATTGATAAAATGTTTAATACAAAGTCCACTTACTGTTTGACAAGTGGAAATTCTACTTTGCTTAGAAATACATTTTCTCTACTATAATAGAACCTAAGCCAAATACAGGTGGTAAGTCGGCAGGTTGGTAAATCTATAGCAATTGCCATTATAAATGAATAAGGTGTCAAAATAGAAAGTCCAGTTATTATTTGACAACTGAAAATTTTACTTTGCTTAGAAATACATTTTCTCTACCATATTAGAAATTAAGCCAAATACATATGGTAAGTCAGCAGATTCATAGATCTGTAGCAAATTGTCACTAAAAAGGAATAAAATGTCCAAATAGAAATTACAATTATTATTTTACAAGTGAAAATTCCAGTTTGCTTTGAAATAGTTTTTCTAACACCCTAGAACTTAAACTAAATACATAAGGTAAATTCAACAGCTTTAAAAATACATGGCAAATTTTCATTAAATGGGTAAAATGTCCAAAGAGAAAGTCTAGTTATTATCTAACAAGTGAAAATCCCACTCTGTTTTCAAATACAATTTTCTTACCATACTAGAAATTAAATATAGGTGTTACATCAACAGCTTTGTAGATCGACAGTAAACACTCATAAAAATAGATAAAATGTCTAAATTCAAAGCCCAGTTATTATTTGATAAAATAAATAATACCCATTAACTCCTCTTTGCTGTATATTCAACCATTTGCAAAACCGGCAGAAAAAGTCAACACCAGTAATAAATATCGGAGAAAATAAAAAATTCACATAGATATTAAATATCCAAAAAATGTTTAAAGTTCTTATCTATTAATTTTGTTTTGGTTTGGTTTTGAAAGTTTTCGTTGTTCTAGATAACACAAAAATGTTACCTAAAGTATTGCTCTATTAATGTTATCTTTTAGTTTTACTTTTAATGTTGTTTTATTTTTTTGGATAACAAAAAGGTTTTATCTAAATTACTTGTTTACTGATGCTGTTTTTTCCTTAGAAAATTCTATTCCTAAGCCAAGTGAAAATATTTTCATATGTAGGGGAATTAAAAAAAACACAATATGTTAGAATAGTGAGATCAGAGAAAATTCTTCTCAGTTTTCTGGTTTTATATATTTATGTACTAAGGTTGTTCACTTAAAATTTTAATTAGAAAAATTAATTAATATTATTTCCTTTAAAGAAAGCTCTGCAAACTTAATGTTATTTAACATTTAAAGGCTATTTGGAAAGAAAATAACTGAGGAGAATTAATTTGATCCTGTTTTTAACTTTTAGAAAGTATTTATCTGCAATCCTATGAAAAAATATTTACTGTGATACTAAGTAAGATTCTCTATATGCATAGAGAATGTCTGAAAAAGCAGACTCTTTAATGTTTACTGGCGTTATTGCAGGGTGAGGAGGTTACAGGTGACCTTTTATTCTTTATAGCTTTTTAAGGGTTTTCTCTCCTGAATTCTGTACAATGACTAGAAATTACATTTAGTATGGTAAAATACTAATTAAGGTTTTTTAAAAAGTCCTGGTTAACATTTTGAAATGAAAAAATCAAATTGATTCAAACTTATTCAAACTTTTAAAGTCTTAAGATGGATTTTTGAACTTGAAATATTTCTACTTTTCATCTATACTGATTTTCTATCTCAGCTTTTAGAAAAATAATGTCTCAGTTAACAAGGTGAAGTAACTTTTGAATTTAAACAAACAAAACTCCTAAGAATTTGACTGTCAGCGGTCACCGGAATAGTACTCTTCCAAGCATAAGGTATCCTGAAATTATTCTATCTTGCAGAATAGGGTGAACATCCTAAAGATTAAATTAAAGGGCATTTCTAAAAAGTATAATTGTGTTCATCCAACTTCCTAGGAAAATGTCTTTGTTAAAAAGCTGCACTTCATTCATTCATGTTCCTGATGGTGGATATTTTATCTCTAATCAAAAGTAAAATCTTCGTAAATGAGCTAGTTTTGTTTATTCCTAGAAAGACTGGCTTTTAAAGTGTGGTGCCTGCAACGTTGTAATGACAATAAGTCTAATTCTTATTGATCCGCTAAGTATAAAATAATCTGTAGCAATGTTATTAATGTGCTCAATTTTGCTCTTCAAATATGAAAGCGTTTTATCTGTGTTTCAGAAATCTAACTCAGCTGTAGACAATTTGGTTTTCCCTTTTAACTTAAACTTCTTTTACTAAGATCATCAACAGATTGTCAGTTTCCCAAGCGCCTAACATTGAGGCGCTCAGATGGGTATTCGCTTTAAGGTTTTATTTAGCGTCCTTCCTCATCACTATTTGAGAGTCTTATCAGCTACTGCAATTTTCCCTGACATTAAATATATATGTTCATAGTATAAATGCACGCAAATACCTGTGGCCAAATCTCGGCAACCGGCTGGAGAGGATTAAACGTGAGGTTGCCGTGACTAAACGCCTTCATTCACCCTACAAGATTTAGGAAAACGTAACGTTGCAGGGGAAGCAAGGTCTGTGTGTAAACCGCCTCAATCACCAACAAAAGTCCGTAGCTGGGAGCCTCTGAAGCCCGCCAAACACACTGGAGGCATCCACAGCTGCTTTAAATTGGTTTTCGTTTCTGGAAATAGCGCGCTTGGTGCGGCTGCATCTCTTGGCCTCCAGCCGGGGTTAACCCTGACCTGAACGCCCTGTTCGGCTCCCAGCATTTCATGATTCCGCTTCCCTGCTCAGTAAAACCTAAGAAAACCGAGATTTCCGCCACCGAAAAATGCACTTAGCAAGAGGGGGGAATTCGGTGTTTTAAATGTCACATTTTTGTGTTCTCTATCACGATTAAGAAAAGGAGAAAAGATGTGTTTGTGCAGCGGGGACGCAGCTTGACACCCATTTCCTTTGGCTCTCATCCCGGCCAGAGCCCAATCGCGGGGAAACGTGCCCCCCGCCCCCAGAAAAACAGGCAGCGACCCCCACCCAGCCCTTTGCCGCAGGGATCCAGCGAGGACTACCCTGGGGCTGGGCGGGAAGGAGGATGTTGGGAAAGAGAATTGGAGATGGAATTTTTGCGCCCGCAGAGCAGGGAGGGGCCCGCGGGGGAGCGGGGGAAAAAGGCCAGGGGTCAAGCCTGGGGACAGATAAGCTGGGCCTGGGCCGGGAAAATGGGGTACAGGGCGTACTGAAGGAGCGGCGCGGTGGGGTCTGGGGCAGAAAGAGGGGCCAGTGCCCAAAGGGCGCGCCCAGGCGCCCGGAACCCGAGCGGGGGAGGGGGAGGCGGCGGCCTGATGGCCCCGGGACCTCCGCGTCGCGCGCAGGCCACTAACCTGTCAGCAAGAATGTGCCAGTGGTCGCGGGGCTCATCCTGCGTGTCCCCCGACCCTGTCCCGTCCAAGCACAGGGGTCTCCCAGCTCCCACCACCGGGGCAATAGCATTCTTGGCCTGGCTAGGCCGTCCGTCCTCGATTCTCCCCTCCCCTCCCTTTCTTCTTCCCTCCCAGCTTGGCCAGTTCAGCATCAGCATCCCGCACCCCCTCGGTAATCCCGTACTCCCTCTAGCGGCGGGCCACCGAAGCGTGGCCACCGCCCCCGCCCCCATCCCCCCATCCCCTCCGCCCCCGCACGCCCCTCCGCCCCCTAGCCCGCGGAGCACGCTGGGATTTGGCGCCCCCCTTCTCGGTGCACCCTATATAAGGCTCGCAGTCTGCGCTCCCAGTACACGCGCTTCAACTTCGGTTGGTGTGTGTCGAAGAAACCTGACTGCGCCCTGAGGAGAACAGCGGAGAAGGTCCACCGAGCCTGGCGAAAGGTCCGCTGAGCGGGCTGGCGTCCGGAGCCACTCCGGGCTGCGGAGCACCCAGTGGAGACCGCGCCTCGCTCAGGTGTGGGACCCCATCCTTCCTGTCTTCGCAGAGGAGTCCTCGCGTGGTGAGTATGCGGTGAGGACGTTTTTTTTTTTTAAAGATCACGTTCGTTCCCCGTACTTATCAGGAGCTGCGGGAGATGGAGTAGCACCCCAGAATGTCTCCACGCAAACCCTGTCACGCCTTCACTGGCTGTACCCCAAAACGAATGAGGGAACCAAGCCTTCAAGGCTTGGGTTTCCAGGACCAAGTCCAGATACGGGCTGTGGACTGAGATGAGCTGCGGACGGTGATGAGCTGCAGACCGACAAGAGCTACAGATTGATTTGCAATTTGCTCTTCAAATGCGCTAGCAAGTGCTGTGCGCTACAAGCTGATAAGCGCTTCAAATGCGCTACAAACTGGCGCCTCAGATGTGCCGCAAGCACGCTTCACGCGGGCTACAAACTGATGGGCGTTACAACTGGCGCTTCATTGCGCTACGAAACTAATGGGCGCTTTATGTGCTACAAACTGATGGATGGGCGCTTCAGTGGCGCCACAATCCAGAACTAGGAGCAGTGATACAGGAGCTGCAGACGGAAAACTGAATTGCGCTTTACGCGCGCTGCACAGTCTGAGCTGCAGAAGAGTAGCACTACAAAAAAACGCTACAAAAATGATGCGATTAGCCAGCCCGAAAATAGCGCTTCATTGCGCTATGTGGCACGCGAACTGCAGAGGTACATGAGCTGCGGAACAATTCACACCTAAAACGAGCTACCAAGTGGTTAGAGCTGCAGAAGTACGGGAGCTGCAGACCGTTCGCGCTGCAAATAAAGCAGCCGTAGTGGGACACGCGCCGCAGAGTCCAATTCCTCGGTCTTCCTGGAGCAGGACCCCACCCTTTCACCTTTTGGAATGGCTCCCACTCTATTTTTCTGCAGGACGGGTCTCTGCACGATGGTGCTGGTAGACAAAATGGAGCCCCGGGTGAAAATTAGTGTTTAACATTCTGCCCGCACCATTCCTGCTATAGCAGTGGAGTGGCTGGGGCGCTGATTCGAGTGGAAACGGGAATCTTTTGGTGATGGCAGAGTGGGCTGCCTTCCTAGTTGTGCTTGATTGAAGTGGCGGTGTAGTTGTGGTGGCGCGAATCAGGGTCCAGCAACAGTTTGTGGAAACTGTGGGTTTGCTGAGTATGGCGGCGGGGGGAAGGGGAAGGGGAGGGGGAGGGGGAGGGGGGCGGCGGTTGGATCTGTGGGTGATTGCTCTTGCTGCATGAAATGAATCTAGCTTCGGTGGCTGGTGGGAGGGGTTTGGGAGGGGGATTCTTGGTGGGGGGTGTACATATACTCTGCAGCCCTGTAGCAGCCAGTCTCGGGCCCGCCCCGCCCATCCTAGCGTGTCTTCTCTGCAGTAGCGGTCTGGAGCGTGCTTAGCGCCTCCTCCCTCAGCGCCTCCTCAGAGCGCGCCTCCCCTGCAGCGCGCCTTCCCAGAGCGCGCCTTCTAAACCCAGCCTCCCCAGGCCCCTCCTCCCAGCGCCTTAGCGCCTGCCCGCCTAGGCCCCGCCTCTCGCTGGCCACCTCCTCTGAGGTGAGCTGCCGAGGCCCCACCTCTCCCAGGCCCGCCTTTTCTGAGGCGAACTGCCTAGGCCCTACCTCTCCCAGGCCCGCCTCCTCTGAGGTAAACTGCCCAGGCCCCGCCTCTCTCGGGCCCACCTCTTCTGAGGTGGACTGTTCAGCCCCGCCTCTCCTGGCCTGCCTCCTCTGTGGTGAGCTGCTCAGATCCCGCCTCTCACAGGCCCGCCTCTTCTGAGGCGGCCTGCCCAGGCCCCGCCTCTCCAAAGCTTGGCCCCGCCCTAAGCCTGCCTCTGCCGTGCTGGGCTATAAGCCCAGCCTCCTCCAGAGCCGGGAGCGCACATGCGCAGTGTGAATCCTCAACCCCTTCCTTCAGGCCTATGTCCTCTGCGCCTGCGCACCTTCCTTACCTAAGCCTGGCTGTACAGCCCCGCCCCCCTGCGGTTTCTCTGCTGTGTTGGTTTAGCTTTTCGGCTACTAGTGTCTAATAGATAGAATAATAAAACAATTAACAATAATAATTATACCTGGAGTTCAGGAGCACTTTTATTATGTGCTTTGCATATATTCAGTAAAATAATCCCACAATTTAAACTCGTGATAGTGGCTTTTGAAGGGACCTTGTAAGCTGACATGGCTGGTGCCCCTAAAGCCAAATGATTTTACTGCAACTGAAAAACAAAACATTAACAACTTATTTTTAAAAACTTTAAAAATATTTTCACATTTTTAAGTTTGTTTTTTTTTTTAAGAGACACTAGTGGACCTTTTGGAATCAGATGTTTTTCTGGATACAAAATTGGTGCTGCTGGTTTGGCCTCTGAGTGAGGCTTTTATTTGCGTACCTATGAAGCTGGAGTTTTTTCTTGGATATCTAGGTGATTAATCCTAGCCTATTTGCCTATGTATAATAAGTTGTGCCTGGCACATGGTAGGCATTCATTAAATATGTGTTAAATGACCAGAGTAAATTGGTTTATTCAGTGTCTTGCTTGGTGTGTGTGGATTTCTTCCGATTTGGTACTTTCCTATGGTCCTGGGTTGCCTTGTTTGCATTATCGCTCACATTTAACAAATTCAAAAAAAAAGTGTATGTATTTTTAAACTCCAATAATATAAGCTGTAATTATAATACACAACTAAATTAATTTTAATTATTCCAAATAATTAGCTTTTTTCGTAAAAAGCTAGTTATTCCAAATACTTTTTTCATGAAAAGCTAGTTATTCCAAATACTAGCTTTTCTCATAAAAAGCTAGTTATTCCAAATAATTAGCTTTTTTCATAAAAAGCTAGTTATTCCAAATAATTAAGCTTTTTCGTAAAAAGCTAGTTATTCCAAATGATTAGCTTTTTTCATAAAAAGCTAGTTATTCCAAATGATTAGCTTTTTTCATAAAAAGCTAGTTATTCCAAATGATTAGCTTTTTTCATAAAAAGCTAGTTATTCCAAATGATTAGCTTTTTCATAAAAAGCTAGTTATTCCAAATAATTAGCTTTTTCATAAAAAGCTAGTTATTCCAAATAATTAGCTTTTTAAATAAAAAGCTGATTTTAATTTGGGGCAAGTGGATTATTAATGGTACATATTGGTATTATTTAAAGTTTGTATAATATTACATAAAGTGGTTACATTACAAAATATAGATTGTTTCAGCTGGCATAATTAAACATCTATATAAAACAAATTTATAACTGATTGCTAATAAGAAGGACCATGTAAGATATAAGTTTCTAACTGAATGAAGAAATTTTTAAACCTGGTTCCATGTATTACAAATCAGGAGCCAGGACTTTGGTAAGAGGGAAATTGGGGGCTTTGGTTCCCCAAAATCTCTGTCATGTACCTCCCTCCCCCCAACAAGTACACAATCTATGGAAAATTTGTGCTTATCATAATTACAGCTTTAAGTAATTCCCCCTCCTCTTTGGAAGTTGTATGTTTGAATATTAAAGAGGTTCAAAACAATGGTAAAATCATGCATATTGAGAAAATTCATATTTCATAAATAGTATATGATAGTACTTAAAAAATTGGACATTTGAAAATATGAAGCAAATAAGAGTTGCTTAATGAGGTGTCATTTCCTAATGAGATGTTTACATACGGTTTTTGGCTACTATTGCTCTTTGGTGTGTTTTGGGAATAGAAATTTTTCCAAGCTATTGCGAAGAGTCAGTAATTAACCAAATGTATTTGATTACTAAATAGACTAAAACTGAAATTATTATCATATAAAGATGGCATCTGTCCTAGGCAGCTTGGCTTTATGCCGTGTGTCCTTCAAGTTTTCAGGAATGGAACCTCTTGACTCCCTCCCCTCCAGTGCAGCCCCACTAAGGGGGAGTTTAAGGAGCTATACATAGTTCTATAATTCAAATCAAGTAAACATGCTCCTTGTCCCAGCTTAACTTGTGCTGCCCTGCCTCAGTTGCTGTTTAAACATTTTTATACGTACTGTTAACTTGCCTGCCCATTACCCTATTACTTTAACAGATAAACTACTGTTTTCTGGGCAGTTGTCTCTTTTAACATCCCACCCTAAACTTGCAAACCCTCATGTGAAGGCCTCAGGCTTGTTTTTGGCAAAGGTCAGCAATCAAGCTAGTGACTTTGCAGGCTAAAGTAGGCCTTGAGTTTGTTTGGCCAACAGTACATTAAAAAATAAAAAACAAAATGACTGGTGGCAGGGGGAGGGCGTGCACCCCCAAGTTCTATTGTTGCAGCCCTCCCATCTTACCTCTGGTCTCTTTTCACTTTTAAATTACCTTCCTTATATACCAAAGGTATTTGAATTTTTAACTCTTTGATCTTTTGTTTCCCTAAACCATATAGTAATTATTTGCCAATTTCCTAATGTATTGTTATTTCTGTCCCATCATTGTTTTTTGCAGATAATAAAACTATCTGACCTGAGCTTCAATAAAGACCCCCTTAGTGGCTGTGATTGACAAGTGGTCAGGCTGCACCAGGCCATGCTATGAATGCTCTTGGTACCTTCCTCACCTTAGTTATGCTTCCTAGTTGTTTGTTTGTTTGTTAATGGGACATGAAAATTCCTAATTCAATAAGTAAAAATTGCATTATGTTGTGATGTTATATTGTCAGGGTCACCAATACAATTGTCTTTAAGGAGTTGGAAATGATACTGAATGTCACAGGTTATGATGTGTTTATTGTGTTTTCTAATTTTTTCTAAACTTGAATATTTTATGTTTCATCTTGAATTTCAATTATGTTGTTTTTGTAGCCTAAGTTACTAACGTAATTAAGTAGTGGGGTTAAAACTATTAAAATGTCACACTACTCCCTGTCTCTTAAAGACCCTGCTTGCTGTATAGCCACTCCTTGGTGAGGCTACACTAACTGCAAAGGACACAGGGAAAGTATATGGGTGGTGACATTGGGGCACAGGAGGTACCTAAAGGGTTAGGAGTAGAGGAGGAAGGAGCATTTCTTTACAGCCAGGGGCTGGGCATCATGTTTAATTACTATATCTATTTTTTTTTTTCATTTGCCCTATTGGTGGAAAATACTAACTATTTTCTAATTACCAACTATTTCTCTAATTACCAACTACGTGCCCTCTTTTTGGCCTTATTCTATGTAATTTATTTGGCATCCACTTTTGCAGGTAAATCACATAGTGAGTATCCAGAGCGGACCAAGTTATGTTTTTAAACTTTCGTTTGTTTAAAAAGTTTTACAAATTTTTTAAACTTTGTTGAAAAGTTTTAAACTTTTTAAAGTTTTTAAAACTTTTTAAAACCTTTTTAAACTTTTACATATTATATTTTAAACTTTTTATATGTTTATTTTTCTAAATATGGGACTTGATTATTAATAAAATTTAAAATAATTGAATTATTCTAAATGCATTTAACCATATTTTCAGGAAATACACAGGAAGACACTGTGTTAGGTCCTGTGATTTATTGTCATTGCACTCATAATTAAAATGCTTAAATACACACCCTACCCCCACCTCCCCATATACATCCACTCACCCCATAGGATTGTGGCTCTGTCCCACCTTAACATTACAAACCTTCATTTGGGGCTGTGCCAACAAATCTTGATTAAAAACTGTGGATTGCAAACTGGTGACCTGCAGACAAGTAAGGCCTTGAATTTGTTTGACTAACACAGTATTGTTTTAAAATTAAATATCTTTAGGTGGGAAATGCATGCCCATGTTGCTATAGTTGCAACCTCTCCCTGTTTTAATCCCTTTATCTTTTGCAGATAGTTACCTTTCTATTTTCTAATTAATAATTTTGTTAATATTAGCTAACCATTATTGAATACTCACTATGTAATTTACCTGCACTATTTAATTAAGTCCTCATAATTAGTTTGAGGTATATTATTATTGGGCTTCTTCACATGTCTCATTTTATAGCTTTTCCTAGGAGACATCAATTAGTATTTCTTGAATGACTGCATAATGACAAGGGAAACTGATACATATATATATATATATATATATAGAGAGAGAGAGAGAGAGAGAGAGAGAGAGAGAGAAAGAGAGAGAGACAAGGGAAACTGATACATATATATATATGTTGCTGCTCAGTGCCATTTCTGTCCCATAGAGAATTTTATTTGGGGATTTAAATTATGGTCAGAAAAGTAATTTAGGCAGTCCTGTGGTTTCTGTGGTGGTGATTGTTTGATTTGATAATCAGTTACCTTCTCTGTGGCAGTGGAACAGGATTGTGACAGTTGGCCAGGGTACCCCCCGACCCACAGGGCTGATGAATACATGCATTGTGATTTTAATACTCTCCTCTTGTTTTTATGAATTTCTATCACTTGTAGTATTGCCTGTTTTTGGCCTAGCTTCTCTAATAACAAAGTTATTACTTTGGCTTTAATTTGCATAGTTGATTTGGTGTCCATGTTTGCCTTGAAGTTTCTTGCTCTGTTTCAATAGAAAACTACTTGTTTAGAGGGCTTTAACATTCTCTTACAGTTTATAAAGCTAAGCATGCTGTTGATAATGTATTGTTGAATCATAATGAACAGGTGATCTTTGAGAAGGACAAAGTCATTTGAACATCAAAAAGTCGTTTGCTTTTTGTATGGTGCTGATTGATAACTTCCTTTTGAGAGTTTTTTTTTTTTTTTTTTTTGGTTGTTTGCTAATTTTTAAAGTAAGCACATAGAGCAAGGGATAATTTAAATATCAAATCCTTTGTGTCTACATTTTGCTGCTTTGAAGGTATAAATTGGATTCATACATTTATCTTTATTTACAGAAATAAGCGCATTTTGAAAACAAAAAAAAGAAGGAGTGGAAGAGGGGGCCAGGATCCAGGCCTCCATCCCCACAGAAGTGAAGTTACAGCTGGGAGGTCTCCTCCCACCCCAACCGTCGCCATGGGTCCCGACTGCCCACCTCCTCCTCCTCCCCCTCCCCCCAACAACAACAACAACAACAACTCCAAGCACACCGGCCATAAGAGTGCGTGTGTCCCCAACATGACCGAACGAAGGAGAGATGAGCTCTCTGAAGAGATCAACAACTTAAGAGAGAAGGTCATGAAGCAGTCTGAGGAGAACAACAACCTGCAGAACCAGGTGCAGAAGCTCACAGAGGAGAACACCACCCTTCGAGAGCAAGTGGAACCCACCCCAGAGGATGAGGATGATGACATCGAGCTCCGCGGTGCTGCAGCAGCTGCTGCCCCACCCCCTCCAATAGAGGAAGAATGCCCAGAAGACCTCCCAGAGAAGTTTGATGGCAACCCAGACATGCTGGCTCCTTTTATGTCCCAGTGCCAGGTCTTCATGGAAAAGAGCACCAGAGATTTCTCAGTTGATCGTGTCCGTGTCTGCTTCGTGACAAGCATGATGACCGGCCGTGCTGCCCGTTGGGCCTCAGCGAAGCTGGAGCGCTCTCACTACCTGATGCACAACTACCCGGCTTTCATGATGGAAATGAAGCATGTCTTTGAAGACCCTCAGAGGCGAGAGGCTGCCAAACGCAAGATCAGACGACTGCGCCAAGGTATGGGGTCTGTCATCGACTACTCCAATGCTTTCCAGATGATTGCCCAGGACCTGGATTGGAACGAACCTGCACTGATTGACCAGTACCACGAGGGCCTCAGTGACCACATTCAGGAGGAGCTCTCCCACCTCGAGGTCGCCAAGTCGCTGTCTGCTCTGATAGGGCAGTGCATTCACATTGAGAGAAGGCTGGCTAGGGCTGCTGCAGCTCGCAAGCCACCACGCTCGCCACCCCGGGCGCTGGTGTTGCCTCACGTTGCAAGCCACCACCAGGTAGATCCAACTGAGCCGGTGGGAGGTGCCCGCATGCGCCTGACCCAGGAAGAAAAAGAAAGACGCAGAAAGCTGAACCTCTGCCTCTACTGTGGAACAGGAGGTCACTACGCTGACAACTGTCCTGCCAAGGCCTCGAAGGCTTCGCCGGCGGGAAACTCCCCGGCCCCGCTGTAGAGGGACCTTCAGCGACCGGGCCAGAAATAATAAGGTCCCCACAAGATGATGCCTCATCTCCTCACTTGCAAGTGATGCTCCAGATTCATCTTCCGGGCAGACACACCCTGTTCGTCCGAGCCATGATCGATTCTGGTGCTTCTGGCAACTTCATTGATCACGAATACGTTGCTCAAAATGGAATTCCTCTAAGAATCAAGGACTGGCCAATACTTGTGGAAGCAATTGATGGGCGCCCCATAGCATCGGGCCCAGTTGTCCACGAAACTCATGACCTGATAGTTGACCTGGGAGATCACCGTGAGGTGCTGTCATTTGATGTGACTCAGTCTCCATTCTTCCCTGTCGTCCTGGGGGTTCGCTGGCTGAGCACACATGATCCCAACATCACCTGGAGCACTCGATCTATCGTCTTTGATTCTGAATACTGCCGCTACCACTGCCGGATGTATTCTCCAATACCACCATCGCTCCCACCACCAGCACCACAACCACCATTCTATTATCCAGTAGATGGATACAGAGTTTACCAACCAGTGAGGTATTACTATGTCCAGAATGTGTACACTCCAGTAGATGAGCACGTTTATCCAGACCACCGCCTGGTTGACCCTCACATAGAAATGATACCTGGAGCACACAGTATTCCTAGCGGACATGTGTACTCACTGTCTGAATCTGATATGGCAGCTCTTCGAGATTTTGTGGCAAGAAATGTAAAGGATGGGCTAATTACTCCAACAGTTGCACCTAATGGAGCCCAAATTCTCCAGGTGAAGAGGGGGTGGAAACTGCAAGTTTCTTATGATTGCCGAGCTCCAAACAATATTACTATCCAGAATCAGTATCCTCGCCTATCTATTCCAAATTTAGAAGACCAAGCGCACCTGGCAACGTACACTGAATTCGTACCTCAAATACCTGGATACCAAACATACCCCACATATGCCGCGTACCCGACCTACCCAGTAGGATTCGCCTGGTACCCAGTGGGACGAGACGGACAAGGAAGATCACTGTATGTACCTGTTATGATCACTTGGAATCCACACTGGTACCGCCAGCCTCCGGTACCACAGTACCCGCCGCCACAGCCGCCACCTCCTCCACCACCGCCGCCGCCACCTCCATCTTACAGTACCCTGTGAATACTTGTCATGTCCGTCAGGATCTCTGCCCTCAAAATTTATTCCTGTTCAGCTTCTCAATCAGTGACTGTGTGCTAAATTTTAGGCTACTGTATCTTCAAGCCACCTGAGGCACATCCTCTCTGAAATGGCTACAGAAGGTCAGGGCCACCCTGGACTGGCACACATCCTAAAGCACCAAAAGACCTTCAACATTTTCTGAGAGCAACAGAGTATTTGCCAACAAATTATCTCTCAGTTTTCCATCTTGACTGCCAATCTAACTAAAATAATTAATAAGTTTACTTTCCAGCCAGTCCTGGAAGTCTGGGTTTTACTTACTAAAACCTCTATCATCATCTGAATTATAAGCTGCCGAATATCTTGTTCAACATTTACAGAGAAGCTGATACAAATGCAGGAAATGCTGATTTCTTCATGGAGGGGGAGATGAGGAGGAGGAGGCAGAGGAGGACATGACTTTTCTTGCAGTTTCGGTACTCTCTTTACATCACTAGAGGACCGAAGCCTTGTTAAGGAAGCCAAAACTATTGGTGCAGTGTGGAAAGGCTTCCGTGATCATCCTGCTGCACCCTTAGAAACTTCACCGTCTTCAAACTCCATTTCCATGGTTCCGTTAATTCTCAAGGAGCAGCAACTCAACTGGTTCTTCCAGGAGCAGGCAAAACCCTTGCTACATGAAATACTGCAGGCCTGAAAAGAAAGTGCTCTCTCAGATGGACTCTTGTATGTTAAGAGTGTGCCTTCACATTGTGGTGCAAATCACATGTACCCAAGGACTCTGGCTTTGGCACACACCTTACCATCATCATGCCATAATGGCTTCCACAAAGCATCAAACCTGATAACCAGAGATTAATGGTGGCTCCAGGGGTGTTAGATGTTTGTGAAATGTGACTACCTCTCAATCACCTTCGAAGGCTAAAGAGTGGCAGATCAGAATCCACATAATGAAAAGGGTCACTCTAGAGGATGGAGCTGATGTGAAGCTGTCAGTAGATGAAAAGCCTCAGAAAGCAACTCAAAGGACTCAAAGCCACAGACAACACAAGAGGTGTCTTCAGCCCAGTGACACCTCTGGTGTCCCCTGGATGTTTTGTGCTAACCTGGGACTGCCTGACTTACTTTAGCTTGGTTCCTTGCTACTCCTTTGAACTCTTTTATCTAACATCTCTTTTTCTTTTTAATTCTTTACTACTGTCATTGACCCTGCTGCAGGATTTGTGTCATTTTCCTGCCTGGTTGCTGAGACTCCATCTTTGCTACACAGATATGTAAGAGGCAGGCTTCAATTGCCAAAACACAGTTCTGAGCAGTAGAAAACAACATGATGTATATCTCAAATTGCCTGACATGAAGAGGAGTCTGACGGTGAAGTTTCACTTTTCATCAGCATCATCTTTCACATGCTCATAATCATCTACCCTTATTCTTGCATGTTTAAATACTTAAAATTTTTAGTGTAAGTGTTTTGAAGTGGTGACTAGGCTTTCAGAGATGTCCATTGAATTACAAAGTACTACCCAGTTCTTATTGTTAGAGTTAAACTAAGTAAAAATGATAAGTAACATAGTGTAAAATATTTCTTTACTGTGAACTACTTACAACACTGTGAATGAGAGGCTCCTCAGAACTGGAGCATTTGTATAATAGTTCATCCTGTTCATCTTCAATTTTAACGTCATATATAATTTCAATTCTATCTAATTGGGCTTTTAAAAATCACACAAAATGATATGAAATTTCAAAAGAGAAACCTAATTGGCTATTTAATCCAAACAATTTTTTTCCTTCAATGGAATTAGAAAGCTTGTCAATCACTCATGTGTTTTAGAGTAATTACTTTTAAAATGGTGCATTCGTGCTTCTGAACTATTTTGAAGCGTCACTTCTGTTTACCTCAAGTATCAATTCATCTCCATACATTTGAATTCAAGTTGTTTTGTGTCAAATTTACAGTTGTCAATTGATCTTCAAGCTGCAGGGTGCCTAGAAATGGGCCATTGCCTGTAGCCCTGGCATGTGCACACGGACATTTGCCACCACTGCAAGCAACAGTCTGAAGAAGTTGGCCAATGACAAGAATGATCGGGGGAGTGTGCGTATGCTGGTGTGGGATAACAACTCAGAAAGTCCCTGACCCACGTTTGGCTGTGATTTTACTAAAGCTTGTGATTAACTTTTTGGCAGTGTGTACTATGCTCTATTGCTATATATGCTATCTATAAATGTAGATGTTAAGGATAAGTAATTCTGAATTTATTATGCTGTAGTATTGAAGTTTAGTTAAGTTTCCTTTCACTCGATTTATATTGTGGTTAATCAAATTTATATTAATTAGATTCTTTAAAATTTTGGGGGGCATTTTCCAACAAAAAAATGCCTTTATTCATAAGAAAGCAAAAACATCAATGGAATTTGATATCTCAAGAAGTTAGAAAGGGAGCAAAATATAAAAACATAAAGGAGATAGATGAATTATTAAGCAAAATCAATAGTCAAGTCTTTGAGACAAACTGGCAAAATTAATTAATTGACTTTTGGCCCAAATTTGCATTGTTAATTAAATTAAAAAGGAAGAAGATCTAAGAGCTCCCATTGATAGGCAAGCCTAGAGAGAACTAGCTAAGTTCATCATGCTAGGATATTGAAACAGAGAAAGTTTGCATACAGTTATGAAGGGTCAATTTAGTTTGGACATGAGGTATTTGTCTTAGTGGAAAGAAGAAGCATTAGTCTGATTGAATTGTGAAGTAATATAGTGAACTTGCAGGTGCACAAAATAAGAGGGGCACATCTATATGGTGCAGTCTGGAATTCTGTTTGAGTTTTGCAGGTACCTCTTGGACTTCTGAATTGATCCGGTTGTCATCCACCACAGACATCTCATGTCAAATGCAGACAGTTCCAAGATTGACAACAGAGAACACTCTGCTGGAAAGACCTGGGCAAAAATGGAGAGCCCTGAGGGAACCATGCTACATTTTCATCTAAAGAGAGAACACACATCTGATGAGATGAAAGTTCGTTGTTGTTTTAGATTGTAGAATGCTATTGAATTGGTCTGTGGAAAATTGCATTGCTTTTATTTCTTTGTGTAATCAGTTTAAGTAATAGGGGATATATAATCATAAGCATTTTAGGGTGGGAGGGATATTAAGTGATTTTAACTGGGTGGGGTTATTTAGAATGTTAGAATAATATTATGTATTAGATATTGCTATAAGTGAACATGTGTACCTGTGAACCTTTGCCCTGTAATTGCTATCCTTAAAGATTTCAAATAAACTCTGAGGGAACTGCAGGGAGACCAACTTATTTAGAGCGAATTGGACAAGGATAAAGCATTATCCCACCCTAGTAGGATAATGTTCAAAGGTTATTAGGTAAACAATTTAATAGAGGATGAGTGCCCTTTGAGAAATTATTGCTAGATTGAAATTGTCAATGATGGATGGTAAATTTTCATGGAAGTTATAAAAGTGATAAATAAAAAACCCTTGCTTTCACCCCTGTCAGTAGCCCTCCTCCTACCACTGAACCCCATTACCCTTACTGCTCCTTCAAACTTTATTGCTGTATTCTCTTCACTCTATATTGCTCTCTATTTACTAGTACTGCATTGCTGTTACAATAAAATATCAATAAAGATTTAGTGGTTAAGTGCAAACTGTGTCCTGATCATTTCAGCGTCCGTCAGCATCAAGGAAATGGGGTGGGGTAGGGGAGGGAAGGCTGTAGAGAGTAGGCAGGGTGGGAGAAGCTAAGAGTGGGGACAGTAGGATAGGATGGGACTGTGGGAAGGATGGGATTGTGAGGAGGTAGGGAGGTGGGAGATAGAGGGTGGATAGGGTAGGGATGGAATTGAGTTTGGGATAGTGGGATGGTGGTATAAAAGAACATCAATCACAAGCCAGTATCAATTACATAGCCAGAATACTCCAGGAAATCAGTTATTCCAGCTGCAAAAGCTTAACATATAAAATAAAGATACACCTTTAATATAGCAACTCTGGTGATGTAATATCACAAACTTTAACATCAGTTTCACTTTAAATACTTGAGATTCATTAATAGAAAATTATGAAGTATTAGGACATAGAAGAAGACAAAAATACAGTACGGATGTGTGGGAAATTAACAGACAGATTTACACCAATTAACACTAAAACAATATAATCAGAGTGACAGTGAAATTTTATCTAAGGAAAAAGTGGCGAGTGGGGTTCACAAGGCATTCATCCTATCAGATTTTAAAACATGATGACCCCAGTCAGATTTGTAGAATAATAGGTTGCATATAGGAAACCTTAAAAAAGGGACTCTTAGTGGGCTAGTTTCAAAGAGCTGTTGGGTTCACGTGACATGACAGCCACATAAATAAGACGGTTTATTGGGAAGATGGTGACTAAAAGGAAAAATCTAGAACTAATGAAAACACACAATAACTGTCTCCCCTCAGAAGCAGGCTACCAGAGTAGCTGTCCATCAAGTAGAGCTCACAAATGCCAATAGTGTATAGGGTGGTTGGTGGAATTGAAGAAATTGGGAGTGAGGGTCCTCGACCAAGAACTGAGTTATCAAGTATCTGCCTGGAGAGTTACTTACAATTTAACATGATGCAGAAGTGATTAGCCAAATCATGTTGAAAGAAAATGGAAGCATCTTGTTTATCTCTATTTGTTACACCTAGACTCCTCCCCATCTGGGCCCCACTTCTTTTCACAATCTACATGATTAAACAAAAACAAAAAGCTGCTCAGCCTCAAGATTATATTAAGTTACATATAAGTTATATTACTTAATATGTTAATATAACTTAATTTATACAGCTGCATGACAAAGCTAGTCCAGAACATTCAACTTATTTTACATAAAAATTGCAATATTTTTTGAAACCTTTTATGAAATGAATAACGAATTCCTCTTATCTAGTGTAGTGGATGCTGGCAATCTAAACAACTAATTACAGTCTAAACAATTAGAATAAAAAAAGTTGTTTAGAATGATGGCCACACTTTGTTAACTTAAAACACAAATGTACATTCATTAAGTCAATCTTAATAGGGGTTCCTCTTCCACTGACTGGAGCTCTGAGTTGCATTTTTGAATAAATTAAATCAGCAGCACAAAATATTACACTACAATGGGAAAATAAGTAACTTTTAAAAATATAAAGATAATTAACTATTCATGAGGATAAGAATTACTTTTGATCCATACCTCAAAAAATACACTAATGAATTGCATAAATTCAAGGACTATGAGAAGGAAGAACTTATTCATATGAGGAGGATAAACTAATAAATCTAAGATGAATTAAGTTCATAAAGCTAACATGCACAACAGAATGGAAACATTTGGTACATACCTATAAAATACTTGATTTATTACCCAAACCACCTCATATTTTCCTGGAAAAATTAAGTAAACTCCCAATCCCCTACCTTTCATCCTTATCCTCAGGCTCCACATCTACAGATTCAAACAACTTCAGATGGAAAATATTCAGAAAAAAAATAAAAATAATGCAATTATTTAAATCGAATTTACATTGTATTAGGTATTACAAGTAATCTAGGGATTATTTAAAGTGTACAGGAGAGTATGCATAAGTATATGCATATACTGTGGATTTTATATGAGACTTTAGCATCTTCAGATTTTACTATGGAGGAACTGGAACCTATTCCCTTCATACACTTCATACATCCAAACAGGGATGACTATTTGGAAAAGAATCTGGATGGATGGATAAATAAAATAAGAGAGAGAGAGTGTGTGTGATATGTTCAATAATAATTTATTGATTTCTTTCATTGTTCAAGCCAGTAGGCTAGGTCTAGGGGGACACAACTCAGGGTACAGACCTTGGACTGAGAAACCTAATGCAGTTGAAGGGTGAGCACCCAAGGGTTCTCTAGCTAGGTGTCTTAGTCGATTTTTGTTTTATAAAAGAATACCTGAGACTGAGTAATCAATAAAGAAAAGTGGTTTACTAAGCTCACAGTTCTGCAGGCTAAGTTCAAGGCCATGGTCCTGGCTTCTGGCAAGGACTTTCAAGCTTTGTCACAACATGGCTGAGAAGGTCAAAGGGGAAGCAGACATATGCAAATGGAAAAATCTGAGGGGCATCCTGGTTTTATAACCCACTCTTGAGGAAACTAATCCATTCGCTACCTGAAGAACAGCACCAAGCCATTCATCAGGCATTTGCCCTCATATCCCAAACACCTGCTACTCGCTCTGCATTCGCCAACACTGCCACATTGGGTATCAAATTTCAACATGAGTTTTGGTAAGAACAAACCATATCCAAATAATAGCACCTGAGTACTCCAACTGCTCTTAGGCACCGTAGTTGCCCAAGTCATTTATGAGTAGACACCATTTAATTATCATTTAATGCAGACAAAGGATATTCAACATTTAAGTTTTTTTCTAGAATACACTAAATTTCTTAAATATTTATTTTTACTCATGTTTTTCAGTTGAGGATTAGAAATAATAAACAAGAGAAATGATTCCTTCCTCCCAAATTGACTTCCCAAGCAACCCTTTTAGCACATAATAAAATTTCCTTGTTCTATTCCCTGATAATTCCTAGAGGTAGTTGACAGCTGTATATCTAGAATCCCAGTTCCTTGTAACTCAGGATAATTTACAGAATAACATTTTGATCCAAGATACAAACTCAAAAAAGAGAGCAAGTTAATCTCTGGAATATCATTAAATCATTAATTATTATTTTCTATTTAGCCTTATAGTCCTTACATAAGAAAATCCCTAAATAAAAATTAATTATAACATATCACTTTGCATCATTGGCTAGTTATTCTCAATCGGTCCATGTTAAAAAAAAAAAAAAAGAAAGAAATAGGTGGAAGTTACACACAAAGATAGCATCTTAAAAAAATTTATTATAGATAAAATTCTTTTTAAAAAACAAATATTTTTCCCTATTTTATTTCTAAGAGGTTTCAACATTACTTAAATCTCACATATATCAGCCCGATGTTAGAATAAATCTAATAAAATAATACAACATCCTACCTTCCAGGCATAAGTTGATCTGAAGTCTCCTGAGTAATACCCTAAGTTTCATCACTGCCTGCAGTTTTTAAGGTTAATTAAAGTAGGGGGAATGATATTTTGCTAGCTTTTGGACCACAACATTGGCACATCAAATTACCCTGTCAGTCCAAGTCTTAAATAATACCCAATTGTGACAACTGAGCTTGTCTTCTTACTAAGTGCTAAACATTACCAAAATCCAATATTGAAGTTGGGAGAGTGTTCACTAATGACCTCTCTCTTCTTTTGTACCTACTTGAGAATGAACACAGGTAGTTAGACATGGATTAAAATGCATCTTTAATATAGTCAAGATAAGTTGTAGCATGCAATTTGGGCCTTAGGTTAAAAGATTAAAATTATCCATCCTGGACCGGTCGCAGTGGCTCAAGCCTGTAATCCCAGCACTTTGGGAGGCTGAGGCGGGTGGATCACGAGGTCAAGAGATCGAGACCATCCTGGTCAACATGGTGAAACCCCGTCTCTACTAAAAATACAAAAAAAAAATTAGCTGGGCATGGTGGCCCGTGCCTGTAATCCCAGCTACTCAGGAGGCTGAGGCAGGAGAATTGCCTGAACCCAGGAGGTGGAGGTTGCGGTGAGCTGAGATCGCGCCATTGCGTTCCAGCCTGGGTAACAAGAGCGAAGAAACTCTGTCTCAAAAAAAAAAAAAAAAAGAAAGAAAAAGAAAGAAAAATTATCCATCCTATTCCTTTCCTCCTCCCCAATTCTGGATCTGAGGATGTGATGTGCTCAGAGTAGATACCTTAACATAGCCCCCTCAAGGAGGCACACGAACTGTCTCACACCCATCAAGAACTTGGGAAAGGAACAAAAGCAAGGCAGATATGCCTAGAAGCCTCCCTTTTTAAGGAAAGGTTGATATAATTGCTTATGAGTACTGAGTATAGAACTAGAGCCCCAGTTTGTTTTCAGGTCCTTGTCGACACTGATATATAAGTTGTCTCCAGTCCAATGATATCTCTTATCAGAAGATACATATCAGATTGGACTTATTTGCACATATGTAAAATTTAGAACCAGATGGCTAGAAGTAGCAGACACTCACGTCTAGTGCAACAAATTAGGGTTCACTAAGTATAAAAATCCTGATGAAGTGCTTCAAGACACTGCTCCTGCTTCAGGAGACCTGCTGTATAATGTTCCCCTAACACTGAAAAATCAAGTCTCTAATCTAATATCCTGGACTTCAGTGTGATGAGAGTCCTCATGGTAATTCCAATCCACAAGTGATAAGGCTATCTAAAGGACCACTTTGAAGAAGAAGCATCCCTACCTACGAGATGATAAATGAACCATCACAGACACGCACCTAGAGGTTAAAAGGTGGTGTTCTATACCTACTCCAAAGAAATGTGTGTATTATTTTTATTATGAATATAAAATTGCAGTTTAGACGGTTTAGTTTTATGTAGTATTTTTTTTTTTTTAATGGCGTCTCTATCACCCAGGCCAGAGTGCAGTGGTATGATCTTGGCTCACTGCAAGCTCCATCTCTCAGGTTCAAGTGATTCTCCTGCCTCAGTCTCCCAAGTAGTTGGATTACAGCACCTGCCACAATGCCTAGTTAATTTT